ACTATTTGGTGTAGACAATATAACTGTAAGTTACCTTTAAAGTTCCCAATCATTACCTGATGGCTGTTGGTAGTACTCAAAAATTACAGCAAGTTCGAGATTGGTTACGGTTTTTGATTTTACGACAACGAGTACCACATTCCCTAATTGGAAAGCCGTTTGAATGGCAGGTAAGGAGCACATATTACCTTTATGTACAGCGTATTACTTTCAATCCTAGTACTTCGGGCGTACTTACCTTGGTGGGTTTTTTTGTAGTAGGGCCAAGCCATTGGACCGATATCGGCCTGTCCTTTCTAGGGACCCCAAAATTTGGAAATAAAACTTCCACATTAGCGACACTTTCGCAACCATAATTCAGCTTACCGGCTACAATCACAATCACCACAATTGCTAGCCAAATAATGAAATAATTTTTTTTGCAGATACGGCCAATCAAGGACGACAAGCCGCTACAGATCTCAAAGTTCTCGCCACTCAATTGTTTTCGATTATGGTGATACCAAACACAAATAAATATGATAAAAAATGTTATTCAAGTTGTAAAAATATGCATCAATATTGAGAAACACCGTTAGCACTTCGAGTATTCCTCTTGTAAGAGCTCACAGTAGCCCACCGTACATTGTAAAATCATCTGACTTGACAACCCTGGTATCCGGCATCGCTGCTTTGATCGAAATAGCAAAATATTGGCTTATTCCTAGAGTTCTGAGTCTGATTTCGATAGCATCGTAATAACTCAATAGAATGTTAATTGCAGCATTAAGTACTCAGCTATTTCCTCTTTTGAGGTCTCCATCCTATTTATGCTCACAGGATCGCAAAGCAAAAAGTTTTAATGAGTTGCTTTCATCGAAACCAACACATCAAACGGATAACTCCGGTAGAAGTGATACAACTGCGGAATTAGCGAGGAGTTTCAGTTTCTCAGAGGTTAATAGCAGCTTTCAAAGAAAATCTAGGCCTACGTAAGCACTAGCCGTATCGGAGATACCCAAGTGGGACAAATGGTCCAGATAAGGCCACAAATCACGCCAGCAACAAGCCGACTGCCTCGGAGAAGCTCTAAAATACCTTTTCATTGCTTCTTTTGACTTTTGTCCCTTCTTTTGGTCAAATCATTCCACAGAGATTAACTTCAATTCCTACAGTTGGTCAATACTTCCAGTGATGAGAGTAATCGAGGAAGACGTTTCATTCATTCTGGGTTCAAACTCTGAACTACAAGCTCGTTATCAGTTTTCGTAATCAGCGCTGAGCGCCTATTTATGCTCATTGTCAGAAAGCTATGCAACCACAGGTCTTTCAGGAGAAAAATCAATCTCTATTCCTGTCTGTAGTGCGACTCAGGCTGTGTTACTTCAAATTAATTTTCTTCATGATTAGGAGTATTTGGAGACTTGCTCCAAAAAAACCGAGTGAATTCCTAGTAAATCTCATCAAATGCAAATTGAATTCATCGAAATTTACCCTGCCTTACTTTTGTATCTCTGTGCCCTTCATTACTTTTGTAGGTAATAGTCTTCTTCATGTATCATCAAATTTCTACTTTCCTGAGTTTCCCGACGGTTATTATCAATCATTTCTATGCTTCAAGGTAAGGAAATCGAAGGAACGGTACGGTGAACCGTCAAAAAGAGCAGTATGTGGTTACAAGTCCTCATTTCGATCACGATCGTCAGTTTTGTTTTCGGGCAAACTCTAGATCCAGAAGAATGTGAGCGATGCGTTCATCGAAATCAATTGTAAGCTGAATAAATTATAAGTTTGAACACAATGCCTTGGAAAACTCGTACTAACTTCTAGATGGTGCTTGGAACCGCTCGGCTGTGTAGATAAATCAACTCCTTGTGCGAACAACATTACGGTAAGGCGATTCGTAACGAGTAAAATTTAAATTTTGAAACTTCTTACTTTGTTTCGTTATGAAAATTTCTTCACTCAGGTTTTAGGTTCGTTCGAGATTTGTAAATGATTCGGGTACTGCAAAGTAGCTGGTTACTCATACATATACTACATATTTGGTTCTGGGAGGAAATCTGAAGTGGGCAGGGGGCTAGAGTCATCTTCACAAGTCTCAGGTCAGATCGCAACCTTCCTACGAGGCTAAAGTTTACGCTGAGTTAGTTCAAGAAACAATTTTGTATAATAATATACACTAACTTGAACAGTATGTGGTCAGATTAAATCAGTAATGGAGCAAAAAGCAAATGTAGTGGAGAATAATCCGACTGTGACATTTACGAGGGGTTGAGAGGGAGGCAGAACTCAGTCCTCCAGTTGAATAGAGGTTGTAAACAGCAGAACAAGAGGCATGATAATGTTTCAATGGATTTTGCCTATTTCCTGTCAAAAAATTAATATATGCAGATTTTCAAATTTTAGCTGGATATCAACTGCCCACGACTACCCGACCCAGCCTATGCTTACAATGACACATTCGCTCGTTACTACATTTATCCTCTCATCGGAGGTCTTTTCGGAGAAACTCCCATACCGTGTTTGAAGTTAGTCGCTTACTCTTGGACTTTCAGTTATTGTATCGAATACATTCTGAGATTGGAGCTTCCAGAAGTAAACAAAAGTAATGTGGTTGTCCATGAAATTATGTATTGGCTGAGAGAGTCAGTAACGAGAAAAGATGCTCCCTTCCTTCCTTGAAAGTAAAACTGAAGTTGGGATTTTTGGACGAGATTTCGAACCAATTCCATCCCTACCCGGCCCCGATACGGGACAAGATAGTTGAGCATACTGTGGAAGGCGTTCTTCATTCGCTTTGTATGTCACTATAATGTTGTCCTGAAATTAAAGACGTACTTCAGAAATAACCTGCCCTACGTCTCATTTTACAAAACCATCAATGTCACTTGTTCCGATGAATTGCCTAGTGAGTGTAACTATTGATATTTTTTTGTAATCCCTTGTGATGATGCCTTACTATCATAAAAATATCCAATTACACAACTCCTCTTAGATGTAACTTGTCACGGCTATACTGCATTGGATCCAGTTGAGAAGGCTGTAATCATAGTCTACCATGGAGCAAGCAGTAATACCGAGAAACTTGAAATAATGGCTAGTACATATGAGTGAGTCTACTTTTTTCTATTTTTGATATTTGGTTATATCCATATAACCATACTTGTGTTAATTGCAGAGAAAAAATTCCATTTTTCGATGATGGACATATTTACAAATATTACCATGATGCCTTCATGCACATATGGGCGGCCACCCTTTCACAACAAGTGCGGACATTGAAGTACCTCTATCCCGATTACAAAGTCTATGTGAGTGATATACATCTACTGAATAAGGGTCCAATTAAAAATACAAAAGCTGACTACAAATTAAAACCCTGTAACTCTGTATTAAGCTGATCCTTCAGTTTGAATTCGAAGTTAGAATTCAAATTCATAATAAAAAATATTCCATAACATTTCACAGATTACCACGAAAAACTTGTAGCAGAACATCGCTCAGGCCATCATACTGAGTCTTCGAATAGAATAAGACTGAAGCCATTGGAAAACAGCAGGGCCTGGTAAGCCGTCTAGCTCAGGAAGGTGGTAGACTCGAGGAATGAAGCCCAGACAACTACCAGTGAAGCCCGAAGTCCAGAAAATAGCTCTATGACTTCACCCTACAACTCCTTTTCAAAGCTGCTCGGATATTCTACAGAGCCAGAAGAAAGCAGCAAAAAACCGCAGTCTGAGGAAATGATGAATATATTTTAGCTGTACTATATATTTCATTTCCTCGACTACCATGCGACAGAAAATTACCTCGAGAATCGCAGTCCTCAAAAAAGTTCCGAATAAAGATTTACATTTTCCGCTTCCCGCCGGAGAAAGTGGCAAAAGACAGGTGATCTTTCCATTGCAAATGATTTCAGGTTACCGGTCACTCTGCGGGAGGCGCTTTGGCCGGTGTTACAGCTGCTTATCTGGTGAAATGGAACCATTGGTTACCGAAAGACGTTCGCCTAATCACTTTGGGACAACCACGTACTGGTGACTATGAATTCGCCTTATGGCATGATGCAGCGGTACTATTTTACTTCAACTTGTAAGAGAAACTTTGTGGAACCAGTTTCTGATGAGAGAATTGTTCTATTTTGGGATATTTTGCATGCGGTGGAAAATTTCTTCGTAAGAAAGGAAGTAATTATAAACTGGTTTCGAGTCACCCAGATATCACCAAAGTGGGTAGGATGGAATGGCCGATGTTTATTAGTTCTTTCTATGTTGCGGTTACGGTAACCGCGATAGCCTGATGACAAACCACTTCTATTTTTTCACCCTGAATTTCCTACAATCCTCCATTAGATCTGAGTAATAGATTGGGGTTAGAATAGGAGAAGTTCTAGGTTAACTTCAGCCGAAATGCCTTGATGGATATGGGTCCTAGTGGTAGCTTCACGTGGTGAGTTCGCCCTGCCACTTCGATTCCAATATCTGGAGGTTGCCCATTACAAACGTAATCCGAGGACGGAGATATGCGCCCAGTTCTTAATAAGTGCAGTGGAAGTGTTGAAATGTGTCCCCGCCTTTCCACCCCACCCACAAGGGAACTAAAGCTAGTGGGTACTGCCGCATGAGCCTGAAGCTCTGAAAAATGAACAGCCTAGTGAATTTCAGTGGGATTTTCTCTGGGATTCTACTAAGTTGCCTACGTAATGAAGATGTCGTTCCTCACTGGAATAACCTACTTCAACAGCTCTACATAGAGCATGCCATTCTGCTGGTTCGCCAGCACCTATAAGAAAAAAANAAAAAAATTCGAAGGTTTGCAAGAATTCAGAGCTTTGGATTATGAGTATCCCGATTTCAGTTCCCTTACTCTTACCGTATCAATCACCATCACGATCCAGTACCTCATACGCCTCCCATGAAAGGAAAGGATGAACCCTTCCATTATCGATATGAAGTTTGGTAAGTTGTTTACCGTTGTTGTTGTAAGTTGCTATTAGGGCAGTAAAAATCATCAGGAAACCTAAAAGTTGATCAACCCAACAGTTACAGACGATGTTTTCAGGTACGACAACGACATGGCAGTTGGCCAACCCTATACGATCTGTCCAGAGGGTGACGGAAATTACTGTAGCAATCTGGCAAATAATACAGATGGTGCCGAACATTTGGTGTATTTCAACCGACCGATGAAAGTCTGGGGTCCAGCAGGATGTCCCCCATAAGAGATCGCTACTGCTTACTCTGTCTCAACGAGTATAAATAGAAGTTTCTATAAAGAATTCAAGTTGGTTTCTATGTGTGCAACTAATTTTTGAATTTCCTTGTGTTTGAAGCGATTTGAGAAGATGGAATATTTTCGGGATTATGCTATGTATTTTAACTACCAAAAGGCATCGCAGAAGTATTTGAAGCGTGAGGATCCAGAGGCTGAGAAACGGACCGTACAACTTGAGCCGAATTCCCCAAACAGCTGAACATTGAACCATGGCGATTCAATTTAAAATTGCTCCTTTAAACTCGCATTGGTGCAAGTTTTCTGTTTACCAGCAGTTCTATGAATGGCTTTCAAATTTTTCGATGCAATGCCGATTACTTATAGCAAAAATGAGTTCTGTCAAAAGCTATTAATAGCGTTAAATGGAGATGGTGCGAGGCAAAGTCGTTGTCTTTCGAGAACCTCTTGACAAACAGGTGTCTCGGGAATGAACGAACCACTCTATACTCTTTTTTAGATCAGATCTTCTCATCTCCGTCTTGGGTCAAGCTTTAACAGATTTATCAGAATGAAGTGATCATCGACAGCAACATACAGCTCAGCCAGTCCGTACAAAAATCAATTGCCCATCAAAACGTCTCTACGGTCTCGAGTGAACAATTACTGCATAGCACATACTGAAACGAGAATGAGAGTTGTTCACATATCAATCGTAGAAACATTTAAGGCTATATTTATATGACCAGAATATCATGAGTGTCATACCTGGTTGTCTATTCGTTCTCGGAAATCGGAAGTCGTAATATGAAAGAAACGATTATATCTGGCTTTGGGTTCCGGAAACAGAGTGCGGGCCAACACCCATCCCATCGCCTTGCTTGTCATCCTCAATTTCTTTGGTAAATGGTTACCCATCCGCCCATATCACATGAACACCAACGTAACACGCTGATGGCGCCGGTGATCTTATCAGTGCTCAAACCGAATCACATCGGAATTGGCGTCGCGGAGCCGCTTTTGCAGCACCACCGTACGCCATCCTCGATGAGATGTCGTCTAATCATCATTATTCTTGGTCTCCATACGGTGATCTGTCTGATATCAGCTGCTGCCACCTTAAGATCCCCCATCGAACCGCCACGATTTCTTAGTAAGGTAGGTTCAAAGCTATTTTTACTTAATTCTATCGAACGTAAGCCATCAAACGAGCGAATTTTTCCCCTTAATCCACCTTAACCCACGGTATTCAAGCACTTGAAATACCATAGCCACTCAGACTGCATATACCCATATGAAATTCTCGCTGAAACTTTGAAAACTTCCATTCACCAGCATTAAACAGCCGCCTTCTAACCGAATGATTCGGTTTATCGAAACTTTTGTGGGTCTGGTGGCTCCTCTTCTATTTGGGAACCTTTTCTGTCGCGATCAGGAGCGTGCTTTCTTCGTTTGTTATTTTTAGTGCTGCCCGCTGTCAGTATCAGTTGGTAATAGTCCAAATAAGCCATTGATCAAAGCGTAAGCAATTGTATACATTTGCTTGTCAGACATGCGGCCCTTTTTTCCGAAACTTCTCGTCTGAAGTTTACTACTGTTCAAATGTGAGAAGTCTTTTTGGTGTAAAGCAGTATTAAAGTGTTTTTCTTGACCGTATGAACACTTTGCTCTCGCATTCTAACAGAAATCATTCCCTCCAGAAACTGTAAAACTTCTGATGGCATAAGCTCGAGCGTTTACTTTGCTGGTTCACCTCCCACCACCTAATGTAAATGCTGGAATTCCTCCCCAGACAAATACGCCAGCCACTCTGGCAGCGGTGATGGCCGCTGTATAATATTCAGGTGGCTCGGTGACCAGTTCGGCACTCTGCAAGCAAATTCTTGTAAATAGTTTGGTTAGATATCAAATGATCGAAGTCCGCTAACACCCTTCTATCAAAACTGCAACATTCCCATCACTAATACCTGTCAATTGAAACGCTGAGCACAGGAATGGGGTGACTTTGAGCATCTGTGAAAGAGAGCACGCGGGCTATCCACCGTAAACGACTACTCGATAGAAAACACCTGATGACCTTCCTAGAGATGCTCTCTGAGTGGCCATTAAAAAATAGGGGCAGTTCAGGAAACAGTCATGCTTCTGTTAGACATCGCAGGTTCACTTATCGCTCCCGGTATATTTTTGTTCCTGGCACCATCCCGTTGCATCCTTATCACAACTTGTAGTTTGTTCGATCACCCAGATCGAAACACCTAATGGGTTTTTTTTACTAGTTAGGAAAGAAGGGTTCATAAATAAGGGAATAAAAAAGGCCTAAAAGGAATCTTCTTGTCGTGTACACATGCAAAAGATCCTCATCTGCTTGCTGTTTAGCCCTCTGCGCTTGCCATGAAAACTGAAAAGTAACCTCTGAAAAGCAAATTTTATCTGTACTGACTTCCCCATAATTCCTGTGTTGTATGCACAGTAGGAGGAAAGCCTGACAATGGTCCCTCTAGCAGAAAGTTTTTGGCTTTTTAATAATCTTTGGCTCCTGTCCTATACCTTTTCCTATCTTTTCTGTCGTTGTGCATAATTTTGTTCCAAATTGTTTTATTTTGCATTGCCCTGTTTTATTATATTTTTTCCTGCAAAACTACCAATTTTCCAATATTTCCTTTGCAACTCTGCATGGGAACTGTGGTGTTTCCGGGAGGAAGGCTAACTTTTCCAGAAGTCTCTCGGGAGATAATCTTCAATGTGATCGCCCCATTTTAGAAGTCATGCCGCTTCGCCGGTGGAGGATGCCATTGTATAGTCCGTCTACGAGGTGAATGCTGTTGTAAAGGAAATGAAGTCACGGATCTTCCATCGAACCTCACGACAACCATCAGAGTACTGTGAGTTCATTCCCTTGTAAA